GAGGAAGGAAGAGGAAGGAAGAGGAAGGAAGAGGAAGGAAGAGGAAGAAAGGAAGGAAGGAAGGATGGAGGGAGGGAGGGAGGGAAGGAAGGAAGGAAGGGGAAGAAGGAGAAGGAAGGAGAAGGAAGGAGAAGGAAGGAGAAGGAAGGAGAAGGAAGGAAGGGAAGGAAGGGAGGGAAGGAAAGGAAAGGAAAGGAAAGGGAAGGGAAGGGAAGGAAGGGAAGACATAGGGGTACTGGGTAGTCCGAGGGAATAGTTTTCATCTGCAGCCTGGTGTTTGCTTATCTGTATGTCCATGTGTGTGTGGCATGAAAAAGCACAAAGAAAAAAGAGATCCAACAACTATATATATATATATGCAGTATTTTACAGTATTGTTAGAAACAATAAGCTACTAGGAACAAGTGCATCACCACTAGTAACAAGTGCCTTACTAGTAGTAACAAGAAGCTATTAGAATTAAATTAAAATAGAATTAAACAATACTAGGTATTGTTATACTAGTATCATAATGAAGTGTTTTCGCTGCAGCTTTTGGGCTTAATCTTTTACATATCCTTCAACCCCCCTATCGCCCGTGCATCCCATCTCCTCAAGGCACTGTGCTACTACAGTGCTCTGCAAAGGCTTTTTCGCCTTGGACGACGGAAGTGGCAGCGGCTGCGCTCTCTCTCTCTCTCTCTCTATCGTTTGGACTGGTCGGTCGGTATCTCCCACATCTTCATTCAGTTCTTCCGATGCCGTGAATCCCCCATGGTCTAATAGAATTCCCTCTGGTCTTGGACCCGAGGGTTTGCCGACAGCACCATCTAACGCAGGCTACGTCGGTTGAACAACGCCGCTCTTCCAAGGTCTCCGCTAACTAAAGCCCCCACCACATCAGAATCTTCCTCTCTTGAGGGGTGCGGCTGACTGGCCCCAGAGGATGCTTAGACTGGCGACTTCGTATGGCCTTTGAGTGGGTTGTCTTGTTCTTGAGTTGACAGATTCTGCAGGCTTAACTATGGCTTTTATATGCGTTTGGAGGCCGATTGCTTTTCAACGTAAAACCACATCCAGTCTCTCCACAGATCGCCGTCTTTGGTTTTAGGCGTGGCTCGGACCGGGAAAAGGACGAACAAGATGTCCGACACGTGTTTACACGGTATTGACTTTTCTATCAGTCTCAGTGCATTTGGATACCAGGACCCAGCAGATTGCATGAGTGCGGACTGCAAATGGGGCTCGTCCGGTATCCTCAAGACGATCTTGGTTTTGAAGTAACGGAACGTCAGATTTGACAGGTTCAGTTTTGTGTGCCTGTGGGTGGGTGTTCGAAGAGGAAGACTCACGAAGATTCCCGAGAAGAGTAAGCCAGTTCCATTTACAACCTAAGTTCTTGGTGAACTAAACATGCTTCAAAACAAAGATGCAGCGGCTATGCCGCACGCCACTGGCAGAAACCAAGCCGGGATTCGGACCGTCATCCGAGTCTGCAGTGCCACCATGGTGCGTCATTGAGTCGGAGTGTGACCATTCAACCTCCCAACAGGACCTGGATGGGACCTTGCCTCTTGAAACCGGACCCCAGCTATCAGATCCCAGCCTTCGTTGTTCTGTGCAGAGCGGCATCGTAGGCACAATTCTCCACGTACTTCAAAAGCATCTGCGAAGTCCAAGCTTTCGCGACTTCCTCCTGGAGCTTTGCAGAATGACCAGCCAAAAGGTGGTGGTCACCCCGGTCACCCATATGAACTGATGACTATAGTTGAGAGAAGAGCTGTTCGAAACCTTTAAGAAACAACAAATACTACAAATAATCTTGAATCTCAGCTATTACATCTATACTTACAATGTCTATACTTCATTCTACACCGCCTAGCTAAAGCACAGAACCACCAACAACTTGTCATCGGACGACCAGACTCTCCTTCCCCAAACGCTTCTCCAAGTCACCCAGGACCTGTCACTCGGAGCACGTTTCTCCCACCGGTGCAACCGGTGCAACCAGTGATGTCCTTTTGGGAATATTGGGTGAGTTCGGTATCATAATACCTATTGGATCCTATTGGTTGTATACTGGAAAACTGCTAATCTGCAAGGAGGGGCCCGATGTGATGGGGTCACGTCAGGGTCACATCAAGCCGGCTTCGAACTTGGAAAGGGCAATATAGGCGCGTCGCTGACGGCGTTACTCCCTCGCAGTAAACATGTGGATGCGTGATGATTCTCAATGAGAAGAACTGGTGGCTGTTTCATACTCTTAAAGAAACCTCATCTATACACAGGCTGGAATTCAGGCGGTATGTGCCAAAAGGACCTCCAAAGCCCTGAAAGAGCAGCGGCAGCCCTCCGTAAAGCAGGGAACCGTGTGACCACTCCAGATTCTGTCGCATGCCGGAGAATCTTGTGGGCGTCACGTGTCCGAACTCTGTGTGTTGGCATCCAAAGTTCGACGGGTCAACCGCGAACGTCGCTCCACCGCGAAGTCGAAGTGATTTTTGTTCCCGCGAACGGCGCCCATGGCGAAGGCGAAGGCGAATGTATATGTATGTCCCTCCCAATTTAAGCGCCATGTGAGATTTCAAGGGTCAGGAAGTCACCAAATGTTCCATAGGCCTACAAAATAACACTCCATCTTGACGAAATCTCAGCAGCTTCGTAGGCTTGAATTAAGACATTTGTTATGCCTCCTAACTAGGGGCCAATCGAAGGATGTATCGAAGGCCGTAAGGGGCTGCAACACTTGTGCAGCCATGAAGAATCACCCCTCAGAAAGTGTAGCCACGTGTAGCCACCTCAGCACTCCCACCACCTCAGGCCTTGTACCCCGCCGTCTTGGGTTTTCGGACAAATCGATCATCATCCATTGGACCCCAGACGTTGGTCTTCTGCTTGTCCGCCAGCTCAATGCGATATGGGTTGCCTTCATCCCACAAGCGCAAGATCTTGCCTCGCTGCCATTGGCCCTTCCCCACAATGGCCTCCACTTCATCACCCACCTTGAAACGGAGCTCACCCTCCACCTTGCAGGCCTGAACACCGACCGGGCTTTGAGTTCCGATCCACCGACCTGATGCAAATACGACGTCGAATCCACGTGGATCGTTGGATGAAGTTCTAAACCGGGTGGGTGTAGATTGAGTTTGTCGAATCCATGAAGAAAACAAAATATACCATGTATATATATATATATAGCTATATACAATGTATACGTGTATATATATACCTTCAACCTCACTTACCTACCTTTTCCTAGGTAACCAGCTTTTGACTTCCAAGTTGCTGAAATACCAGGTATGCTTGAAAAAACCAGGTAATTTGGCTCTTGCCATCAAACTATCACACACCCATTCCCTGAAAAAACGGACTGCATGCCTTTTCCAGCTGAGCTCACCCACGGATCATCCTTGCATCAACCCACTTGACATACGACTGGATAAGATATCGCTGCAATGTCCGGAGCATGGTAGATTTAATGCTCACCCTCCTGCTGAGCCTAGAAGCTCTTCCCACTATATCTTCGTCCTGCTGACAGGCCGTCAGCAGCGGACTGAAAGCAAAACCAACACGCCTTGCATCAGAGTCAAGCTGGATGACCTGGTGGTGCATGGCATGGAGTTTTGTGTATAGTGGAAACAAGAACGGTTTCCCTGCATGGTAGTGGACTGTGGCCAGCTTGTAGTATATTTGCAAAAAGGTTGCTCCAAGCTTTGAAACACGCACCGCCACGACTTTGGGCAACATTGCTGGAGACTCGTAGAGAGTAGAGAACATCACATTGGCACACACCGCCGCTCTAGAAGCCTTTGCCAAAAGTCCCTCAGAATCTGGAGGCAAGCAAGAGATCAAATGGGGAAGCCACAGCAACAAGCTGGTTGTCACTGCCCCCTTGGACCAACAGCCGACTGCTCCGGTGTAGTCGTTGTACGATACCAAGTAAGCAGAAATTTGTCTCACAATGGCCGGCCTGTGATTTGCTTTGCAAAATCTGAAGTAGTGTTCCGTGAGCCATTCCCACTTCTCCGGAAGTGTAGCAACTGGGACTTGGGGCAAGCACACTTGAATGACTGAGCTCGCAAAGGCCTTGCCAACGCCCAAATGAAATCCATGCCACAAATCTGGCATGAAAAAGCTGCCAGGATTGGAGATGTCATGTGGCAAGAAGCGAATGTGCACTGGCCGTTTGTCCCACGGCTCAAGCACCCCAACTGTGGACAACCAACGAGGTCGAAAAGTTGTAATCTCTTCGCTTGGAAAATTTCCCGACCTGCAAGACACAAGTGGCACACTCCTCGCGGCTTTTTTGCTTCAGCACCTCGTTTCACACTGGTATTGAATGCTCGGTTCAGTCTTCCAACTTTTTGAAGGTATGGCCAATCACCCTTGACCCCGATGCAACAAACACGGAAGACATTTCCGTGCCTGTCGCGAATGCCATCTTCCAACAACCGCTTCAAATCAAGTGTGAGCTCTTCCATCGCCGTGTGGAAGACGTCAGAGTCTTGTTCATACAGAACTTTCGGGATCACACTCGTGATGAAGCGGTTCGTGAAAGTGTGGCCTGCAAAGTTCACTTCCAAATGTGGAAGTTCATCCCCATTTGCCGCACGCTTGGTCCCACGTTTCTTGAGTCTGGCCTCATCAAATCCATAGCCCAGCACGGACTGAACAGCAGTGATCATAATACCGTTTTTCTTCAGCGTTCGTCCTTCATCTCCATGTGTGAAAATTGCGCATGTGCGCTCTAGTTCCTGCTCTGAAAAACCCATGGTGAAAAGGCTAAAGTCTGGCTGCAAAGCTTCGAACTGCTTCCAAAACTTTCCCCAGACCTCAGGGGCCAAATGCTGTTTCTCAAAATCCAAACCCGCAAGCCGGTACCAAAGCCCGTGGTCCAGCAGGTATTTGAACCATGTGGTTGGAGGAATCCATGGGACCTCTGTCCCCTTTGCAATCATGCTACTAATCTCAACATCCAGCTTGGTCCCTTGCTCTGAAACCACCTTCTGCGTGCCACGCTCAGAATTTTTGAGGGATATGGAAGCCCATGAAAGAACACCAGATTTGCCAGTCGCTTGGATTCCAAATTCTTTGGCCACCGCCCTGGCAGTGTTGATCTGAGACGAGCAAGTGGCCTCGGAAGACTGGCGCCAGGCATAAACACTCAATTGCGCTGTTACCAAAAGAATCTTCCCTGTACCGTTTTTGCCTCGCCCCATCTAACCCCTGAAGCTCTAAAATAGGTTGATGCAGGGAACCAAATTCATAGACTTTGTTTGATGTGTGTAACATAGGATTTGCTGGCACTTACAGCAAGGTGCCGTGGACATGAAAGACGCCTCCAGAAAAGGCTTACTACCATGTTCACAAACCAACCCAATACTTTCCAAAACGCCCTCAAGTCAATGGAGCATTGCACAGTCCTATATAGCAGGACCTACTCAGGTTCGTGCAGTAGGTCTCTCATTGAACATCGTTTGTCGGCGCGTGTTTCGCAGCACATCAGGGACAGGTAACAATAGTGAGAGGTAAACTCAGAATGCTTTTACAATTTGCACTTTCTCACGTCACCAAAGGTTTCAATCCAATGATACTTAGATGTGTTCACGTGCCATGAACTTGGCATCCCCGACTTGCAGCGGCATGGAACATATAATATAGTTTCTTGAAGGTTCCAGGGTACTTGTCAAAACAGAGCAGGCAAGTCCACGCGTGTGCAGCCATGGTGATTTGGTACTGCAGGATTCTCTTGCGCACCCTTGCTGAATTAAACAGTGTGAGGTCCGAGCACCACATGCATATAGTACATAAATAACGACTTGTATTTCGTGTTTGGGACCTTGCTGTTTTTGTGATTCTGAATTCTGGGCTCTGACTTTCCTCTCACCGCGTGGCACTCGTGAGCTCTGAGGTAGCCACTCCTTCACCGACATTTGCTGCCAGCCTCCTTGCAGTTGGCCCTGGACCTGGCTAGGAGCTCTGGTTGGCAAGAGGAAGAAACCTCATTTCGGGGAATGAGATGAAAGGCTTTGAGTTGAAGGTCTTGGAGTTTTTTCCCTGCCGATTGCAGCTCAGTCTGGCTGCAGTAAATGTTCCAGGACATTTCAAATTACAAATTTGTTCACCGGGTCTGCCAAGCTCACACCTCCAGAACCATCACTAAAGGAAGCTCGATGATCATTTTGGTTAAGATCAATTCAGTACTCACCATCAAGCTAAGAAGCGTTGCACAGACCCAATACCCAGACTTGGTTTCTTCGACCATGATTTGCGAGTTCGCAAATCCTAACATCAAAATGCCGTGTTGAACAACACGTCCCAGACAGACCAATCGGCGTCGATCTGTCAAACCCCATCCAGCTTCACTCAGTCTTGTCGATCTTGGCAAAATGCCGTTTTGCATTCCTGGGCTGTGGAAGAACAAAGCGGGAGTTCCAAAGGTATTCCAATGAGAAGGACAGACAACAACCCATGAAACTGCCAGCAACTAAGGATAAATTGATCAATGTGCCGGATCCGTACTTCATTCTGGGCCACCTTTGTGCACCTGAGCTGTGCGTCTCAGCGGCAGGAGGGAACGGTGGGGAAAAACACCGCTTGAGAATTTGTGCAACCACTGCATCACCAACAAAGTAAGAAGGCACACGAAGGTTGCGTGCTTCACCATGTTGTCGGATGCCTTCTTCCACCTTGGTTGTTTGAGACCATCATGGACTGCTGTGTTAGTGTGCATTGTTTTTGCTTTACTTTGACTGAGCCTGCAAATGAGCTACTCTTGACTGAATTGTTGAACTTCCCCATTGGCCAAACATTCGGAGAGCTTCAAGTAGACTTGATCCAAGGTAGCCAAGTCAGTTTGGATTTGTGCAACCGACCTGGACCACTGGAAAATGCAAGTGGGGCTTCTACTATTACCTTTTTAACAGCACTTGGAAAGCATGAACATCTAGTAACTTTAAGTGA